CTCTCTCTCTCTCTCTCTGTCTCTCTCTCTCTCTCTTTCATTGCAGTGCCGCCTTCGTTTAGCTTCGCTACTCTGGCTGGCAGCCAGCAGACGTTGGAGAGCCAACCGCGCATACATCTGCCCAAATTTCCGGGCTTTAGCACGCTGCTGGGCACAGCGCCGGCGCATGAACAGATCCTGGAGGACTCCGGTCTGGACATGCATTACTATCGCTCCTATGGCTCGCTCGACACGGATCACACGGGCCGCAGCCTAGATACCTTCGGCTCGCTGTGCGGCCCGCTGTCCGAGCAGGGCGAAGCTGAGCAGCAGGAGCAGGAGCAACGACTGGATGCCACGGCCCAGGTGCATCAGGCCGAGCATCAATTTTAAATGCAAGTGTCTTAAAGCCCATTGGGGGCATAATACGTAAGATTGTACTAGACATAAGTGTTTAGAGCTAAGTAATCTAATTATATTTGCGAGTGTATCATAATCCGTCTTATTGGAAGCTCTCATAGCTCATATATTATATATAATATGTATGTGTCATATATACATATATATTAACTATACTTTACTGCCATCCAAAATTGAAATTTCATTAAATCGAACTTATTGAGTGCCAGAACGAAATTTACAAAATATTCTATTGCTTACATGCACCTTTTAATTCAATTAGACTATTATGTATAAATAAACATGTATGTATGTGTATGCATGTATCTAGATCTAAATGTAGCTATATCTAATATATTCGAAATAAGACTTGTGCGTTCATAAGTGGACAATAAATACGTATACAAAGACAAGTTCTTAATTCTTAGCTGTTTTACGAATTTATTTTAATTTATAAATTCTAATACAAGTAATAATTATATTAACAATGCTTTTTGGTAATAATAACAATGACAACAATTATAATAATGAATAAATTATCAGCAACAATTTATTGATAATGATTTAAAAACAATTAATGATGCTCCTGATCGATAAAACTATGTAAAATGCTCCAGAATATTGCTATATATAAATTTAGGTATAAAAGTGGGGCCACAGAGTTCTGAGGCTGACGTGAATCAAATAATCAAATAATCAAATTTGACTGATATTATTATACTTCCCATCGAGATGAGTATAATGAAAATAGTGATGACACATTTTTGTTAAAATTTGAATAGTATGATTCCTGTCTTCATCTTCATCGACGCTCAATTGCAGCCTCTTAAGATCTGGCTGCAGTAAAATATGCTGGGATAGGTCTAGAGAATATATAGATATATAATGAGCAATTCTTTCAGTTTTGTCTGCGTTTTCATTGATACCCCCATAGCCTCAGTCATTTGGATTAGCTTGAAATATTGTTATTTAAATCATATTACTTAATTACTTGAATATTATGTAAGTAATTTAAAAAATATTTGGGTTCTAGATAGAGAAATATAATTAAGAAGTAAATTTTGTACTTTCCCACTGAGGTCCCGATTTAAATTTTTTTATTTTTTTTAATTTTTTTATTTTTTTTATTTTTTTTAGTAAAATTACTTTAGTTAATTAATATTTATATGATATATGCGCGTTGGTTCAGCAAAATTATTTATCCAAAATTATATTTATTTTCTGAAAGTTGTCTTTGATTTTTGTCGATGGATTTTCTAGTGGACTTTCACATATACATATATAAATATATTCATATCTATAGTTTATTTATGAGTCCATTTGAATTTGCCTATACGTATGCAACGCTTGGCACCTGAGACAGTTATTTAATTAAATTCGCCAATTGTTTACGACAAGTAAATGCTCGGCGCTTGCACCCGCAGCAGGGTCGCGATGAATTGCGATTAGATAAACACACTAAATAACCGAACAGTCGACATGGCCAACACCGATAAGGCCCGTTTAATAGGACGAGCTATTGTCAACAAAACGGCAGACAACGCGCGCGAGTCGAACGGTGCTGAGTTCCGAAAATGAGCCAAATCTGCGACATCCAATTGGAGAGGCCCAGTGGGGTCTACCATGCCGGCGAGACGGTAAATGGTCACATTTACCTAACTCTGACGGAGCGTGCCCTAATCAAAGGTGAGTCACGGTCAAAGCCAGCGACAGGGCATGATGATTCATGTATAGATCTAATCAAACTCATCACAAGTAATCAATAGATAAGGAAATGCATAATGTGAAGTGAAGTGAAGTGAAGTAAAGTGAAGATGGGCATATTGCAGCTGGAGATTATAAACTATAAATATATACAAATATCTATATATTATTCGAAAGATATCTATATATTATAGCTACCCATATTTACAATTCCCTAGCTTATAGACATGGCAAAAAGTGCAAAATGTAAATATATATAATCAATTAAAGCAGCTGCTGATAAAGCGCTAAAAAGTGATAAGTTCGAAATATTTTTGTATGTCCAAACAAAAAAAAACAAAAAAAAAACAAAATGTTGAAAAGTACATTGGCTTGGCAAATTCCCAGCTCTCTGAGGCATCTCATATTGTAGTATGAGAGCTTAGCTAAAGCTGTGTTCAGCTGTTCTAAGTGCGTATATAGGTCAAGGTAAGACGAGAGTAATCCTCGAACGTGTTTCGCTGATTTACCGGACATAGTTCAGGTCATTTTTCCTCAATCTTACTAGAACGTCGAACGAATAATTCTCATATTTCTGGAAAGTCTTAACCTTAAGAGTTTCATGGGTCGGCCGACATACAAAAAATTGTGTATTGAATTAAGTATTCTTTATTCTTTTTAATTATACAATATTTCTTGTTTATTCGAGCTACCATCTTACATAAAGTGTTCAAACACTCTTGCTAGATAAATAACAAATCAATGTTTTTCTGTTTTTAGATCAACCAGTTATAGTTTTAGATCCTGAAGGTTTTGAGTATAAAAATCTGATAAGCAATATAATACATTATTATGTTTTAGATTAACTTTTTAGTTTTAGATCATATACAAATCTGATGAATAGTGAATAAACTCATAAAAATACTAAACTTTGTCCTCATTACTTTCAGCCATTTTTCTGGAGTCGAATGGCTATGCATCAACGTCATGGGACACGCCCAAGAAATCAAAGAAGGCTAAGCCCGGCAGTGAGCCAGAAGTCAGGCCGTACCTTCACTTTGGCCAGCGTGTCGACTACTTTGCCAAGGTGGACTACTTTGTGGGCTCGGAGGCGGCGCTGCCGCAGCTGATGGCTGCAGGCGCCTATCGCTACGACTTCAGTGTGCAGCTGCCCGAGGGTTGCCCCAGCAGCTTCGAGGGGGCGCATGGCCAAATACGCTACACGCTGCAGCTGCACGTGCAGCGGGGCGGGGAGCAGCCAACGGAACCGGCCTACGTGCGGCATCTGGAGCTGATTGGGCGTGACCCGAGTCAAGAGGCGCAACAGCTGCAGCAGCTGGGCGAGCAGCCCTGCGAGGTGAGCGCCGTCGAGCTGCGGCCGGCATTGAAGTTCTGGCACCGTGCCCTGCAGCTGCAGCTCAATGTGCCCCGGTCGAGCTACGAGCCCGGCATGGGCATCTCGGTGCACGTGCAGTTGCACAATGGCCAGCAGCTGCCTCTGCAGCAGATCACCTACAAGCTGAACCAGGTGACCACCTATCTAGGCAGCCAGCAGGATAGGCCCAAGCGCAAGGCCCAGCAAGTGGATCGTCGCCCCCTGATCAGCAGCAGTCATCAGTTAGTCACGTGTCCGCGCAACGAGCTGCTCAACTTCCAGCACCTGCACACGCTCCAAGTGCCACAGATGCCCCCCACGATGGGGGCGAAAGTTTGCGACTGCCTTCACTTTGGCTACGAGCTGGAGGTTCTAGTGCAGACCAAGAATCCCCAACGTTATATCTCAGCTCGAATGCCCATCATCATATATCAGGCGCCCAGCCCAAAACAGGAGTTGGCCTTTTCCCAGCCAGTGGGCATCGCCAGTGCGCCGAGTCGAACCCCGGAGGCAAACAACTTCTCCATGGCTGCTCCTCAGCTGAGCGCCTCCATGAGCTCGTTGCGTAAGTTCCGATTTACATAAAACAAACATACATATATATTGTAGCATAACTATTAATCTATTAATTATTATATAGCTTCTCATTTTCGTGAGGCCGAGTTCATGATAGCCACCAATCTGAACAAGGATAAGCACGCCATGTCCGGGGAACAGATGGATTTTAGACCCCGTTATCTCTACTACGAAATGGATCATGCTGAAGCGGAAAAAAATCTCTAGATCTACAGAAAATATAACTATATAA